CCTCCCTCCCTCCCCCTCTCCCTCCCCTTGCGCCCTGCGTCCTGCCTGCCTGGCTCGCTGCTTCCCACCCTCTGCCTCTCCCGGAGCCTCTTTCTCTTTCACTTTTGCATGCCCTGCAACCTTTTAAAATGTTGCCCCTTCCCTGTGATTCGTCAGACGCGGCGGCATGTCCCCTCTCTCGCGCTCTCTCCCTCTCCCTTTTTTGTCTCCCTCTCCCTCTCTCTCTCTCTCTCCCCCCTCTCTGATTAGACACACTGATTCTTCATTCAATGGACGTCATTTAGAACAGGCTCTGCCTTGAGTTGCTTCCTCGCTTCACGCTCGATTTCCAGCCATTCTTCCCTTATTAAGTATTCGTGTAATATTAATAGTCATGAATATCTGCTATTAGGAGGCTGGAGGAAGGCAGCGGCACATCGCGGCTATTAGGAGCTCAAGTGGAGCAGCAGCTAAGTCCAAGAAGGAGGAAAGGAGCCAGAGAGAGGGAGGAAAAAGAAAAGAAAAAAGAAAAAAAAAAAGGATTCAGAAACAAGCCCACAAAAACCAAAAAAAAAAAAAAAGAAAAAAAAAGACTAATAAACTTTGATCCTCCTCCTCCTCCTCCTCCTCCTCTCAGGACAGCCTAGAGATCGCCTTTGCAGCCGCACATGAAGGGCATCAGGACCTGGTGCAAGTTCTGATGGATTATCGTAACGCTGCCTCGCCGCACGAGAGGTCCTGGCGGTGCGGGCTCGTAGGCAGAGTCTAGAGCCGGGCTCCTCTTTTTTTGTGCGAGAGCGCGTGTGAGAGTGAGTGTGTGTGTGTGTGCGCGCACAAGGGGGGCACTTCTCCTCCGTGTTTTTTCTCCCCCGGCTAGTTACCCCCCAGCCGCTTCGCAGATGTTAGTACACAGTTTTTCAGCGATGGTGAGTTGCTTCACTCTTCTATCTCAGGCTTGTGATGTGTCTTGCTTGCTTGCTTTTTTTTCTCTCTCTCTCTCTCTCACCCCCCCGGTTATTGTTATTGTTGATGATGATACTTTGGGTTTCACACCCCGGTTTCCTACGGGGAATTTCCTCCCTTCCTTATGAAGATGATGATGATTATTAATTTAATTCAGTTATAATTTTCTTCCTCCACCCCCCCCACTCCCCCCGGGCTGCTTCAAGTGAACTACAAAAGGCTTGTTAGTACCATGCCCGGCTAATTTCCTCCCCCTTTCCCTTTCCATGGGTTGATTTGCGCTATTTCTTCTTTTCCTGCCTCTCTCTCTGTTTTTGTCCGGGCTCACCCCTTCTGATGCCGGGCATTTCACGAGAGCCGCCTCCGCCTCTCTGGGAGCGATGCCTGTGCCCTAGACATACCTATGGGCTACTCAGTGTAACTCCCCGCTTCCAATTAAAACCCGGCTAAATAATGTGCCTCCATTTTTACTGTTGTTTATATTTCTCTAGCTGCCTGCTTCGAGATATTCTGTTTTTGTCGGTCCCCCACCAATTATTATTTTTCCTTGGCAGCCTTTGGCTTTGTTTCTATTCCTTGCCTTCCACCTCCACTCAAATACCGAGAGATATTGATTTAATTTTTTTTTGCACCCTGCATCTTTTGGCTGCTCCCCCCTCACTCTTACTCCCCCCTCTCTCCAAAACCCAGCCCCCCTGATACAGCGTCTTTGCATCCGATCGCGTCTGCAGAGAGGGGGGAAAAAAAAGTTGTGCTGGAAATGATTGGCTTCCTCGAAGCAATTTCGACGTGTTTCCACGTTAGAAATAGCCACAAAATGGCAGTGGGCTTTGCTTTTCCCCGTGTTTTGCTTAGATGCCCGGGCGATAAGCTGAACCATAATATTGGTTTAGTTGCATTTAAAGCCGGGGAGATCCGTGTCGGTGGTGGCAGGATTAAAACCGCTTGATTTTGCATTATTATAATATATATATTTTTAATGCAGCCTGTGGGTTGGATTCGGATTCTGGTTTTACCGGAGCGATTTTCGGGACAGCCCCGTCCCCTCTGGCGGTGTCAGAGCAGGGGGTGGGAAGCAGAGCCCCGGGATCGGGGCCTTTTGGGTTTGGGGTTATTTGCCTGCAAAGCCTCCCCGGTCCTGCCGTCCTGGGGAGAGGGCTCGCCTGGCAGCTGGGGAAAGGTGGGTGGGTGGGGGGGCAACTGCCCGGGGCGCGTGTCCGCCCGCAGCTGGATGACATCTTTGTCTCTCTCCTCTTGTTTCCTCCCCCCCTGCCTGCCCAGGACCGTCACGACGGCACCAGCAACGGGACGGCGCGGCTGCCCCAGCTGGGGACTGTGGGGCAGTCCCCGTACACCAGCGCCCCTCCGCTCTCGCACACCCCCAACGCCGACTTCCAGCCCCCCTACTTCCCTCCCCCGTACCAGCCCATCTACCCGCAGTCTCAAGATCCGTACTCCCACGTTAACGACCCCTATAGCCTCAACCCCCTGCATGCCCAGCCGCAGCCCCAGCACCCGGGCTGGCCAGGACAGAGACAAAGCCAGGAGACGGGGCTCTTGCACACGCACCGGGGGTTACCGCACCAACTCTCCGGCCTGGACCCTCGAAGGGATTACCGGCGGCACGAGGATCTACTGCACGGCCCGCACGGGCTCAGCTCAGGACTAGGAGACATCCCCATCCACTCCATACCTCACGCTATCGAAGACGTGCCGGTAAGGAGCCCGCATGGCACACGCGATCAGCAACCCCCCCCCCCCCCCCACCCCCCCCGGGGTGGGGGTCCCCCCCCCG